TCACATTGCTAAAGTTTAATGGATATACTCCTTCGGGTTTTTCCCAGGCTTGCTTATCTGTAAGAACAGCTCAAATTCTGTTATCTATTGTATTTTGGTGCTGTCTTTTATCACATTCAGTTACTCCTTTTATTTTCCCACTGTTCCAATTACATAGTGTAAACACAAAAAGTTAGTTGGTTTTAACTAATTGCTCTAAGGTTAACTTCTGTTGTAAAGTTAATTATGAGTGTAACATTATACAACTACTACTGTCAGCATTTTGTAATTTTTGGGTTGTGATCAATCTGTCTTGTTCAGGGCATAAAAGAAAGTGTCTTCTAAGGCTAGTTAATCTTTACAGCTAAGCTTAAATTTTTTTTAAGCTTTACATTATATCCTAGTTATGTATTGAAACCAACTTCTATGATTAGAGCATTTTTAGCTAAAAACTATTTAATATTGCTGGTAGTTTTAAAGGGGCAACTATTTACTATGAAATAACTTTAGCTGTTATCTAAGATTCTTGAGTAGATTTGTAGCTCAGGTTGTGGATGCTGTGGTTGGTTGGCTTGCCGAGCTGGTTCGTTAATTTGCAGACATTTCATTACCCTGCTGGGTAATATCATCAGTGCAGCCTCCGATGAAACGCTGTTGTGTTTTCCCGTTTGGTTTTTAAACTCTGGGGTCCGTTGGAATTGGTTCCCTCATTTCCGATTTTTCTTTGCGGTGGTGTTATCCTTGCAGCTGCTTGAGGACCTAATCTGGCACCTGATGTTATTCATTTACTGGGACAATCATTCTTTCATTAATAAAGCTGGAATTGATCATTTATCTGTCCTAAAGCATCCTTTTATCAGAACTGTCTTGGATGGGAACATACAGCATTCCTTTACTGACCTTCTAGCAGTTCTGTTCAAAGGTACCATTGTATTTCACTGTGTGAGCAGGCTGCTTAGTTTCGCTTAGCTTCTGTCCGCTATCTTGAAAGCAGACATGGGCTGCTTAGTGTGTTCAGGTATAAGTCACCCCTAGACTCTGCGGTATAATTCCACGAGTATGGAATCTTTTACATTCTCCCGAATTGGCATTGGGAACTTGGTTTAAGGGATTGTCTGAAAGATGTTACCTTGGACATTGGCAGTTTTCCCTCAGTTCAGCAGTGGAGTGTCAGCCTTGTCTTATGTGTTGAAGCCCTGGCGTGGGACTTAAAGGTACTTGAAGCCTGTGGAACAATGAACCAAGCTGCAGCCCTACCAACTCCTCGAACATTCCCCTATTCAAAGGAAATGAGACGCAGTCCTGTTACTGAGCTCAGCGCGAAGGATTAAACCTGGGGATTTCTGGGCCGGTGTGGGCTCAGTTCTGCATTTTGAAGGGCTGTTACTCATTGGAGAATTCACTGGGATTTTTAATACCAGCTGCTTTAAAGTTATTGTACTGGTGGGTCATAGGAACTGCGGCTTCAGTTTTTCCCAGCATTTAGATCTGGAGTATCATTTGTACATAAATGAGATTTATCTGCTGTTATTTCATATTTCTTGATACTATTGAAACAAATGCAATATATTGTGAATTCTGGAAATACACAGCAGTTAGGCAGTATTGTAGAGAGACAGAAAACAGTTTTTGAAAGCTCAAAAGCTACTAATCCCAGGCAAGAAAATTTCAATTGGTCCCAAATTTGCAAGGATTTTTGGAGAGAGTATGTTGTGTGGTCCTTTGATTTACCTCATTACTGGGATACAAAATTGTTCAACGTTATTAATATAACTAACTGGTTTTAATTCCTGGAACACAATTTAGAATGCTAAATTAAATAAAACGTTTATCAAGGTGTGTTGCAGGATGAATCCACACAAGGCCGTTTGTTCTCATTCAGTCTTGGTAACAGGATGTAAGAGTGGAAATACAATCGTGTCAAAATGCAAAAAAAGGAAATTTGGATGCTGTAAAACGTTAACAAAATCAAAACGGTGGATTGTTGGAGCAGACTGCACAATCAGAAACTACCGATTTCTCATTTCTTATTGGGATCCTTCATCAGGAATGTCAATGTGTTTCAGATATTGGTGGACCTGCTCTCACCGTTTTTTGTTTCAGTTTCTTGAATACTTTGTGTTATCATCACTGCGCTAAGTGGGCTGGATTCAGACCATGTATAGTAGCTCAAATCTGAAGATCCGAGGTGCCGAGAGTCATCAGCTGCAGCAGAATTGTATTCAACCGCAATGTGTAGCTTCGAGACCTGGCATATCACTCGGCCTCCCATTACCATCCAAACAGGTTACTGATCCAGGTACAATTAGAAAAGCAAGCTGGGAACAACCGCAGCTATACCTACAAATGAGATGCCAAGCTGGTGAGGCTACAACAAAGATTGTCAACACCAGGTGTAATATATATTCTAGGTATAATTAGGTGATTATATACTACCCACTGGATCAGATCCCAGCTCTGCAATCCTGACACATCTGGTTATGAGTGGTGGCAGACAATTAGACAACAGGACAAGGAGGAGGCTTCGCTAACATCTCCAATTTTAATCATATGGGAAACCACTGAGTTAAAAATAGGCTAATAATTTACAACCATCTTCAGCTAGAAGTGCCAAGTGAATGAGGGTCCCAGTATCACAAACGTTGATGTCTGAAAATTTTGAATGTTGCAAAGACAGTGGGTGCTGACACTGTTCCAGCAATCGAACTGAAGATTTGTGCTGCAAAAGTAGCTGTGCCCCATGTCAAAAGGTGTCAGTACATCTCTGGTAATGGCACTCACCTGGCAATGTGGCACTGTCTAGATATGACCTGTCCACATAAAGTATGATGAATCTAATCTGACCAGTTAGCACCCTGTGAGTCTACTCTGTCATCATAGAGTGATGGAAGGCGATAGAGTGGCTATCGTAGAGGACTGTGAAAGCTCAATTATTGAGCAGGTTCAAGACTGAAATCGGTAGGCTTCTGGAGGCTAATGTTGTTAAAGAATGTAATCCAGGAAAATGGCATTGAGGAGACGATCAAACATGATCTAGAGTGGCTGGGCAGACTTACGTTGTCCGATGGCCTACTCCTGTTCTTATTTTCCCACTTGTTCAGCAACAACCATCTTACTGACACTTGGTTTGGATTCCTCCGGGGCTACTCAATTCCTGACCTCATCATGCGAACAAAGGAACCGTGGCTATACTATTTGGTCCCTTGAGCCTGCTCCACCACTCAATAAAATTGCAGCTGATCTATTGTAACCTTAAATCCTTATTCCTGCTTACCTCTGATAACCTATCAACTTCCTGCTTAATAAGAATCCATCTATCTCTGCTTTAAATATATCCAAGGGTTTTGTTTCCACTGCTTTTTCAGGGCTAGAGTTTCAAAGACATCCAACCTTCTGAGAGTAGAAGAATTTTGCCCTATCTGTTTTAAATGGATAACCCGCTGATGTTTTAATGGTGACCCCTAGTTCTAGACTATCCTAAGAGGTAAAACAGAGGAGTTAAAGGCGTGGATTGACATGTGAAGTTGAGATGTTGCCATCTCAGATGTGGATAAGGGAGGAACAGAGTCCAACACGGAAACAAACCCTTGTCCATACTGACCAGATATCCTAAATAAATTTGGTCCCATTTGCCAGCATTTGGCCCATATCCCTATAAACCTTTCCTATTCATATACCCATCCAGATTCCTTTTAAATGTTGTTGTTGTACCCGCTGCCTCCTCCACCTCTGGCAGCTTGTTCCCTACACACACCAGCCTCTGCGTGGAAATGTTGCCCCAGAGGTCCCTTTCAAATCTTTCCCCTCACCTTAAAACTATGCCCTCTAGTTTTGGACTCTTCCCACACGGGGGAAAAGACATTGCCTATTTACCCTATCCATGCCCCTCATGATTTTATAAATCTCTGTCGTCACCCCTCAGCCTCCGATGCTCCAGAGAAAATAGCCCCAGTCTATTCAGCCTGTCCTGAGAGCTCAAACCCTCCAACCATGGCAACGTCCTTGTAATTCTTTGCTGAGTCCTTTCAAGCTTCACAACATCTTTCCTAAAGCAGGGAGACCAGAATTGAACACAGT